CCTCTGAATAAGCATTGTGTGTAATGGGCTTACAAGGTGACCAGTGACGTTTCCCTGGAATTGATTTAGAAATGTTGGCAGCTATGCAGGTATCTGGTGTAGATTTAGGAGAGTGAAGTGAATTCATGGAGGACGGGCAGAATGTAGATGATGAGGAATATCTATTGGCCGGTGACAGATCGCTGTGTATCCCGATCCCTCTGATGTCTGTCTGATGGGATTGATAGAAATTCACACGTCTCTATAGAGAAGCCATCATGATGATTGTAGTGTTGGAGCTCTGTGTAACCTTGGTCAGGGAGCAGAGTTCCGGAAGAGTTCATTATCAGGTCACTGCTTGATCCTGTACATGCCTTATATCTTTATAACCAGCACATGTTATCTGTCATCATACGTGTCCTATGAAATGTTATGTGTGTTATGTGCTTCTGAGATGACGTGTCATGTCCCTGCAGGTGCTCTCTCTCTCTCCACACACATGATTACAGTATACGATATATATGACATATATGATACAATGCATATGACATATATGATACAATGTACATGATATATATGATACAATGCATATGACATATATGATACAATGTACATGACATATATGATACAATGTACATGATATATATGATACAATGCATATGACATATATGATACAATGTACATGACATATATGATACAATGTACATGATATATATGATACAATGTACATGACATATATGATACAATGTTTATGACATATATGATACAATGAACATGATATATATGATACAATGCATATGACATATATGATACAATGTACATGACATATATGATACAATGCACATGATATATATGATACAATGTACATGATATATATGATACAATGTACATGACATATATGATACAATGTATATGACATATATGATACAATGTACATGACATATATGATACAATGTACATGATATATATGATACAATGCATATGACATATATGATACAATGTACATGACATATATGATACAATGTACATGATATATATGATACAATGTACATGATATATATGATACAATGTATATGACATATATGATACAATGTACATGATATATATGATACAATGTACATGATATATATGATACAATGTACATGACATATATGATACAATGTATATCACATATATGATATGATATATACAATGACAACATATTTCTGATGTTCTCCACAATAATCCATATAAATAGTCTCGTGGTTCTGATTATTGGGCTCACTCCGCATTCATTAATGTGCCATTATAAGAAAATGATTTACTATTTGGGAATTCCGTTACTTTTCGATCATTCTGTGACATTGAAGCAGACCTGTCATGTGTGGGTTGGGTTGATCAGGTTTCCAGGCTGACAGACGATCTGATTGGACAGCTGTGATTGGGGTTTGTATAGGGCTCTGGTACCATGGCCTCTATTGTCTGCCATGCTAGATGTGTGTTTGCTGTGGGTACCCGTATCTGTCGCTGGTGGTGGGCAAATCTTCTGCAGATTGGTAAGGAAATGAGCACCTCCTGCCTGTCTATGGGGCTGACATTGCACACCTGTGAAAATGACGGTTGCCTGGCTATCATGCTGACCCTTTGGCTATAATACTTTGAATCACAAATCCTGAGCAGGTTTGTCAATTCTGATTCCACTTCTGACTTCAGAAAGTGTTGATGCCAGAGGCACAGCATTCAGGCAGGTAGCATTTCAGGAGGTCAGCAATGGCTGCCTTTGTAATGTTGCCAGGTATGGTTCACTTTAAAGCTGACCTCCGGCCTTCCCTTCAGTGCTGCACAGTTGTACCTGCTCTCTGCTGGCTGCTCCCACCAGCCATGATCTGCCTGCATTGCACAGAGAAGCACAGGGACCCAGGTATAAAGTTAGGTACCCGTATCTGTCACTGATAAAGAATCAGAAATTCTTTATTAATAATGTGATTAGTATGTTGATGAGGCTGCAGAGGAGGAACCAGGGAAGGCTCAGTATAGGCTGAACGCTGAGCTTTCACATGATGCATTATTGGTAAGGAAACTTTTTAATCATCCCGTCTTTGTACATAAGAATCGCTGCGTCTGTTCTTTTTCAGTCCTGCCACATAGATCTGTGAACTGTCATATGGGTGGGAAACCCTTTCCTCCTTTATAGATGGTTCATTGTTCTTGTCTGTTTCCCTCATAGTAATTGTGTCCTCCTTTCTCTGGAAGCATTGAATTGTCTTCCAGGTAACAATGTGAGAGGATGACAGAATCCGACCGCTTACACACCATTAGCCCTGGATCACACCTAGGAGTTTTCGAGCAGTTCGAAAAGTGCTTTTACCTGCCCAACACAAGAAATCCCATGATTTTCAAAGGCCACTGGTTCACACCTGAGCAGAAAAATGCCTAGCAGGAAAACGCCAGACGCCTGAAAAGATACAGGAGCTTCTTTGGGCAGTTAAAGGCGCGTTTCCTCCCCATAGACTTCATTGTAAATGCCCAAAAACACGCAGCAGAAGCATGCTGCACATTTTTGTGAGTGTTTTTGCGTATTTATACGCACGTTCTTCCATTGCCCACAATGGTTTATGAGCTGCCAATCAAAATGCGCGTCTTCGTGTATGCACGGTAAAACGCGCATACAAATGTGCACACCGCGCATAAACATGCAAATAACCGCATGCTGCTAATGCGCGTGCAAACACGCAAAAACGTTGCCGTCTAGGTGTGAACCAGAGCTTAGAGTTTAGTGCAGTGTGAACGAAGATGTGCGAACGTTTCTACTGTACGGTCGCACGTCTTTTGTCTAAGGAGCACGCTAGAAAACCAGCCGAAAATCGTACGATTTTCGGCTGGTTTGAACGGTGCTCGGGAGACAAATGCCGAACGGGCCGGTGTGCGCACGCGCACACTGCCCGTTCAGCATTGCGATCATCGGAAGCCCGCCCCACAGGGCGTACGATCAAGAGTACGATCTGCCTGTCCAAGATGGGCAGATCGTACGTTTTTTTAATCACTTTACAACCATCGCAAGACTAAGGTCTTGCGATGGTTGTACCGTGTATGGCCACCTTTAGATAGATAATACAATGGGGGGGATTCATCAAAACTGGAGCAGACAGAATCTGGAGTAGCTGTGCATGGCGACCAATCAGATACTCTCTTTCATTTTCAGATCTTAACTGAGCAAGCTGAAGAGAGAATCTGATTGGTTGCTGCATGGCAACCAATCAGCTTCTCTCTTTCATTTTCTAATCTTAACCGAACAAACTGAAGAGAGATCCTGACTGGCTGCCATGCACATCTGCTCCAGTTTTTGTCTGCTCCCGTTTTGATGAATTCCCCTCATTGTATCTATTTCATACTTCTTGTGATCACGGCAATTGTCATGATGGAAAATGTGTTAAGACACCAAGATTGTAAAAAAAATTGTCCTGCTCCTCTTATCTGATCTTGTTGATGAATGTAACATACAGACCATAAAAGTTCCCATCTGACTTCATTGTGACAGTAGCTACAGATTATCAACTGTGGCTGTGTATGTATCTTGCTACTGAACAAAAACTATCCTACAAACATGTGTGTTCCCATTGCCTGTATGTACATGATGTGTATCATCCATGTGTCTCTCAGTGGTGCTTGATCCTGAGGAACCCTTGTGGATCTCTTCCACAAGGGGACGGAGTACACAGCGATATCTCAGTGTTTGCTGAAGATACCAAAATTGGGAGGGTAATAGAAACAGACCAAGATAGTGTAACATTGCACGAGGACCTGGATAAAATAGGGGAATGGGCAACTATATGGCAGATGAGGTTTAATGTCGCTAAATGCCAAGTTATGCACTTTGGGAGCAAAAATAGGCAAAGGGGGTATACAATTATGGGTATGCCGCTAGGGAAGTTGGAAATGGAGAAAGATTTGGGGGTCATTGTAGACCACAAACTGAATAATAGATTACAGTGCCAGGCTGCTGTAAGCAAAGCTAGTAGAATCTTGTCCTGCATCAAGAAGGGAATGTTTTGCAGGGATAGGTCTATAATTTTGCCACTTTACACAACAATGGTTCAGCCTCACCTGGAGTATGCGGTGCAGTTTTGGGCACCAGTACACAGAAAGGATGTCCTTGAACTGGAGAAAG